TCTTCCGTACCGTACCGTACCATGAAACACAGCTCAGTGGCCACATACAGCTGCCCGCAATATTCAAATAGGGCTTTCAAACGCAAGATAATAACGTGAAGCAACTTAGGGCGCGCTCACACTGCAACCAAAACCAGCGTCCATGCGGCCATGCGGCCAAGTTGCATGGCAACGGCATGAACTTGACCAAAACGTCGCGAACACGTTTCAAATCGTGATCGCGACCTCCGGAGGGGGGTGCCACGACTTGGCGGCAACATGATCGTAGACGTGAAGCGTATTTGTGTACAACCTGGCCTGAAGTATGTTCAATTTCTCAAATTCCGGTGTGTTGATTCATGAAAATCGGCGGTTGTCGCGATGTCACCTCGACATTTGCACATTTTTAAAATTAAATTATTTTGTAGTTGTGGTCCTGCACGCACGCACCGCCATATATGCATTCTTTGCTCTTTTTGGACGATGTCGATTTTGTTTTTGTTTTTGTAGTTGCTTCGTTGTGATCGAGTCAGTGACCAATTTCTACAGTGTACTCGTTCAATACGATGGCAGCTTGGTCTGGCTTTTCGGTTTCGGAAATTATCTTTCTCTACTTTTCTGCGATGATGGAATGCCATACCTCAAGACATTTCAGTTACATATCATCGGAAAATACAGTTCTCATCTCGGCAACAGACGAAAGAAACCACTACCGGAATTTCCACTGCACTGGCACTTGCTCTGACCACGAGGTCAGGAAGGCGAAAGCGCTTGGATGTCAGCGGCAGTCCCTCAAGAGTCCAAACCTACCTGATTGTATGAATTATTTTCGTCGACTTCAAGAATACGAGCCACGAGGCACTTCCTCCAACATGCAACATGCGAAAAATTACATCCAAAACGGGCCACAACTTTATTAGGAAACGCACGAACTCTTTTGGATACGAACTGCAATTCGTAAAGTTTGTGTGACAAGTTCACGTCTACGCGTGTACGAGGCCTAGTGTGAGCACGACTGCCACGTTTCTGCGTTTTGCTGACGCATGGACGCGTGCTCATGATCGCAGTGTGAGCGCGCCCTAAGGCTGTGTTTACATGAGAAATTTCAACCCGGGTCGAGTTCACCCCGGGTTGAAAGTCTGTACGATAGACAAAAGAGGTGAGCGTTTACATGAAGACAGTTGACCCGGGTCAAATACTGATATGCCGCCAAAAGTCCACTTCTACAGTCCTGTATGGTCACGTGAATCCGTTCGCGCGAAATTTGCATCTGCAGTGCCGTTCAAACCTGGCGCGAGATACGCACAGAAGTACGTTTGTACGATTTTCTTGACCCGGGTTGATTTCAACCCTCCCCTTGGGGGGAGGGTTGAAATCAACCCGGGGCGAAATTTCAACCCGGGTCAAGCGCAATGCGTCATGTAAACGCGCAATTCATTTTATGCACATGGCGGGTTGAAATCTGACCCGGGTCGAACTCAACCCGGGTTGAAACGCCTCATGTAAACACCGCCTAAGAAGAATGGGTATGAATGCGAAGTGTATGGGGGATGCATGTAGGGCGATAGTGCGGCTTCGAATCCCAGGATATGCCTGAAAAAAAAATAGGAGAATTGAAAAATTTATAACATCCTATGCTTTTTTGCCGTCAGATACGGATAGCGCCAGGCGTGACACAAACAAACAAACACACAAACACACAAATACCAAACGAGAGAGCTTGGAAGCTCAGGGCCCTACGCTATGCTTTTATGCTTTTTTGCCTAGCTCATCGTACATGTTATAAGAACTGATGGAATTGTCTTTTTCCGTTCATTGGCCACATCACTGTATTGCAAAAACGTTTCAATCGGTTTGAATATTATGAGTTAGGCAAAAGTATTTGCAGAATTTATTGCGGATTGTTGTTTCTCTAATAATCATCTACTTTTGTTTTGCTCCTTCTTTAATTTTTATCTCCTTATATTGTAAATCAACAAATTTTGGCCGATGAGAAATAGAAACCTCTCGATTAGAGAGGTTAAGATGCACGTTATTTCCGACGTGACGCGCAGTTTCACGTCAAATTTGAAATCGATCGGTATTTTTGCTCTCACATGCATCCATTGCTGAATCATGCATCATTTGCCTATATGACAAACGTTGGCCTGCGATTTACTTTGTCCGGTTGGTACCAAGCGGCGAAATCAGCGAAATTAAATCGCCAGCGAACATTAGTTGATTTTAATACAGGAATCGGATTTTCTGGCCTTTTTGTAGTAATACATCTACATTGACCTGTTGAGCCAATGACGACGCCGAATGCATGGTTGCCTGTGGAGCACATTACATAACTTTACAGTCTCCTAAAATACGTATCCTGTCCGACGGCAAAAGAGGCTGCAGATTTAGTTTTTCTGCGCGTCGACGGGATGTCTGCGACGCGAAAGTTCAGCTCGCGTTATTTGGCTCGCACGTCGAAAAAATCAACGCGAGTGACCTGCTGCTCACGTGGAAATTTGGACATTACATAACTTTACAGTCTCCTATATAAATACGTATCCTGTTCGACGGCAAAAGAGGCTGCAGATTTAGTTTTTCTGCGCGTCGACGGGATGTCTGTCCTGACGTTTACTGGGACCGGCGCTGACTCTGCTGATCACGGCGTTCTGGACTCGACGGGATGTCTGTCCTGACGTTTCCTGGGACCGGCTTAGACTCTGCCGATCACGGGCGTTCTAGACTCAACGGGATGTCTGTCCTGACGTTGCCTGGTACCGCCGGACTCTACCGATCACGGGCGTTCTGGAGTCGACGGGATCTCTCTTCCGACGTTTCCTGTGACCGGCACTGAATCGCTCGTTCACGCTTATTTTGGAGACGACGGGATCTCTCTTCCAAAGTATGTTTATGCTGACGCATCCTATCACCTAATCGGCGTCTATTCTAATTTAATTTCCTCCTCGTCTCCCTATTTCTTTCCAAATCCCGCTTGCCATGTAAACGCACCACAGGTTTTGTGTGGATTTGTGGACAACCCCGAGATCCCGTTGCAGGCGGGCTGGCCCGCCTGTCGACCAGCCCGGGCTGGAGCTGCACATATAATCATGAGAATGCACGGAGAAGAATGGCCCTGCCGATTCGCCACTGCCTGGCCCACGCTCACGCACAAGTAGTCGTCCAGGAAATGCAGCAAATTAGGGATGGAGAATTCGTGGTGCATTATCCATTCGATGGTGGCTGCCACTGCATCAAATACCGCCGGGCTAGAGCGGAGCCCAAATGGCAAGACACGGTCGTAGTAGTACTTCCCCTGCCACAGGATGCCGAGGAGATGCCAATCCTGTGGGCGGACAGGTATTTGACGAAAAGCACTCTTCACATCGAGTTTAGAGAGATAGACAGGAGACGGGGAGGACATAATGATGTTAATGGCATCAATGCTGATGTACTGCAAAGAGAAAGGCTCGGCAGGGATCCCGTCGTTAACGCTGGAGCCGGCAGGGCTGGACAGGTGGTGTATCAAGCGTAGCTTGCCATTCTTTTTCGGAACAGCGCAAATGCCAGAGCAGTACATAAATGGGAATGGGGGAGAGTCAAATGGGCCAGCCGTGTAGCCGGCGTTGCAGGAAGCGGTGAGCTGTGCAGACACAAATGCAGAGTGCTGGAATGCTGATGAGAGGTTGGACGAGTGCTGGTTAGTTATGCGGTTGCCGGTAAAGCCAATGTCAAAGCCGCAGCGGAGGCCGTTGATAACATACGAAGCCAATGAACTGTCAGGGTGGTTACGGAGCAGTGATTGGAAGCGAGAAACAAAGAGGGGTGTGTGGACAGCAGGACTGGCGCCTACCGCACTTGGATCCGTTGTGGTCCTTGGACCCGCAGCGGTTGCAGACATGGGCGTACTTGCACGTGCTGAGACCGCATCGCCCAGCGTTGAAGTTCCGGCAGATCGGTTGGCCATTAGACACTGTACGGACTCCATTGAAGGCTTGCTGGTTGTTACGTTGCGGACGAAAGGGACACTGGCCGCCTCCGGGATGGATGAGGCGGCAGGACTCACATGTGGGCCTTGATCGGCTAGTCACGGACATTTGCCACAGATTTATGTCGATGACGTCAAAGCGCTTGCCTGGCTGAGCAGAAATGGCAGAGCGAAACTGGGTGTCGTACGACAGCCAAGCCTCCGGATAGTATTGCCTGTTGGCTGCAACTATGGTGGCTTGGTAGGAGAGCATCTCCTGCACGCGGGACGGGTTGGCAGAACACACGACGTTCATGAAGAGAGTCCATGCCTCCAGCCATGTCGGCAAGTCGATGCGCCGCTCCACCTTTCACCACCTCCAGAGACTGGCCGCCACTGCTGAACTGCAGCTGAAGCTGGCGTGGGGCAGAATACGAGGTGGCGATAGTATCGGGCAGCAGCTGGGTGAAATCTACAAAGTCACCCTTCAATATTTTCTCTCGTATAGTCTGGGGAAAGGAGAGATTACCAGCGTTGGAAGACTCCGTCAAAGGTTGAGTTCCAGCGGATCCAGGGGCAGTGATGGTGGCCAGCATTGGAGCGATCGCCTCCGACAAGGCAACGGTGACGGCGGAATGTACTTCCTGCCGCACAAACTGGCGCAAATCGTCATTCCTGCTCCGGTCCGGGATCTGGGGAGTCGGAGAATCTGCTGCAGCACTCTCCAGATCCTGCTCTTGCTCCTGCTTGTGCTCCTGCTGCAAGGATGGCGTGGCCGACGGAGATCGAGGTTCCCGTGCCACCGAGCTCGACGTGTCCTGGATACTGAGCAGCAAACGGGCAAGAAGCTGGGGCTTTGTTCCGCTCGAATTCAGCCC